AAATCATAATTATATTAATCAAATTGGCACATTTATTAATAATTTTTAGAAAATATTTACTTTAGATATCATTGTGATTTGTTACTACAATTTAGAATAGTATAAAAATCAAATTTGGTATATGTTGATCACAAACTAAGAAATTACGTTAAACATCTGTCCAGCCTGGCGTGCCATATAATACTGCCTAGGGGATAGATAAATAACGGGGGGCCAACTCAGCGTTACACAAGTTAGTGGTCATGAGACCGAACTGAAGCCATACAAAAATTTATAAGCGTACCCATGTTTTTAAAGTGGATCGGCCAATAATTTATTTTAATTTAATAAAAAATTTTTCTGCCATAACGGCAAAATCCGAAACTATGTTAAATTTTTTTCAAAATATCGTTTATATATCCTTTAAAAAATACGATCAAGCTTTTAAAATACCTCCAAACCATAGAAAATTTTATTACACATTTGAAAATATTATAAAATAAAAGAAGAAAACCCTATTTTTGAATGTTTTAAATAAAAATATTTATAACTTTATATTGGAAATTCCAAAGAAAAACAAGATAGAATCTGACTTTTTACTACTAAAGTAACAAACGAAAACTTATAAAAATTAATAAATAAATAACCAGTGGTCCAATTTAAGTAGAAACACTTCGCCTATATAAGGTTAACATGGATAAACTTAACTTTTGAAATCGGCTACGTTTCTTTAAACGTGTATCGAAAAAATAAATTTTTATACAATTTTATAACCATTTTTATAAGACTTCAGTTCGGGTAAGTCCGTGTAACCCTGAGTTGGCCCCCGTTATTTATCTATCCCCTAGATACTGCACGTGAGTCACTGGTCACGTTATAGTTTTAAAATTACGCTGAAATTAGGAGGTCTGTACAAATAATGTGACGAATAGGATTTTCGCTACTAAAAAATTTCTCTGTCCCTCAGATACTTATGAAAATGAGGGATGTGGGCTCGCCCGCCCGCCCGGCTCGGGTCATTTGTCATTTCAAGTCATTTTATCAAGAAAAATTGTTCAAGTGACTTATTTGATTGGCCTAAATTTGGACATTAAGTTCATTACATAAATCATGCAACTAAATTACACGACTAAATCACGCGACGAATCGTTTGACCGGCATTACCTATATAGTACCCGTATGGCACGCTTGTTTGAGCACTTGAGCTACGAATTGTTTCATATTAAATCCCTTATTACCTTATCCTGTTATTTAAATATCTAACTAATTCGGAATAGGTTAGAACTTTGAATTGTTAGAATAGTATAAGTACTGCATAATGTATTGTACAGACAAATTGGGAAGAAAAAATTTTTTTTCGAGGGTTTTTTTTCGTCAGACTTTATACATTTCATGCATGCAAATAACAAAGAAAAGTGAAGCAAGATTGTAAATATTCAAATAGCGTAAATAGCGTAAGAATTATTTTCAAATAACAAAGAAAGTCATATAATGGTTCTTGTATTTTTGTTTGGCACAATACGTCATAAATATAATTATATGGAATTATGTTGATCGGCGTAAATTTGTAAAATACATATGAATTTGGACTAAATGGATTAGTTTATGTCAAATAATAAGTATTAAAAAAGAAAATTTTAACTTCAGTTTTTACCGATTTTTATTTTATTATGGGCGAAATTCTACATTATTGACATTATTTGTTAGATGTTAAAAATCAAAAAAGGATATAAAGGATATAAAAAGAAAATACTCATATCATGCAAAAAAGGAAATCTTTATTTGTATTATTTTTTAAACAATACAACTTTTTTTAGAATAATCATTCGTTAATCAATTAAGAAAACGCGGGATTTTTAATGATCGATATTTTGACATCACGTGTTTTGGTAGCATTAATTTCTATTGGTCGCCGCAGTATTGGCTTGGGTATCATGTGATACTGTGTAACATTGATCCATTTACCATAAAAAAAACTTTCGGTTCTTTAATATTATGCATGCAAATAATAACAAAGGAAGGCAAAGAAGGAATAAAGTTCAAAACTTGGACTATTATAAATTATTCTTTGTAATTATTACGCTATTTAATAATTACAATATTGTCCATCACTTTATACGTCATAAACATATTTTAAATTATAACTCAGTCGTTAAAATTATTCTCCTTATATTTAATTTGGGCGTAAATTTGCATATGAATTTGGATTAAATCGTCAAGATCAAGAATATTTTTTGCCGTTTCTTTTTGAATATAAATCAGGTATAATGACTTGAATTACTATGTGCGGTTAATTATTACGAAAATCCATGGTTTAAAAGTAGATATAAAAAGAAATAATAATTTTATGCAACAAGGAGGTTTTATCCGTATTATCTTTTTTTGACAATACAAATTTTTGTGTATCATTTCCATTACTATCTTAATACCTTTTAAGTAAAACAAGCTACAAAATTTTCATACAAAGAAACACGAGAATTATTAAACCATATTATTTTTTTATCACAAAAAGTTACGTATATAAAGCTCTCCCCTTTCCATTCTGTTAAATAAATAATTTTTATTGTTTTTTGTAAAAAATGTCTTTTTCTAATCGATCATATCAATTCCAACTCTACAAGGAAAGAAGGTTAAGAAAAATTATAAATCATTATCGAAGATTCGCATCGAATAATGGCATGCTTAGAAGGATTTCAAACCTTCCCCAACAAAATTCGACTAATTCATTCGTGAATCAACTATTTAATGGGTCGCCATTCTAATATAATTTCGATCTAAAAAACTTTTACTATACCTTTTTTTAATGTATCTTAAATTACATTTTTTATTACGATTACATACAATAATATATCACTTATTATAGTATTAAATAAATTTTCATTTTTGATTTTTTATTAATTACGGTATTTAATTTGAATGTCCTAATTTCGGTCAAAATGCAAAAAAATTTCTTTTTTATTCCTTCATTTTATAAAAAAGATCACAAATACAAATCGTTAAAATCGTTACGATAATATTTACTGTATACAGTATATACAGTACATTGAATATATTGAATATATACTGTAGTTTAGTTAGAAGTTTTATGATTAAGCTATAAGTATATTTTTGATTATTATGATTTATGAGCCTAAAATCTTTCCTATGAAATTAAGTAAAAATTAAGACAGAATTAAATCAAGTTTTTACATGGCGGGTTAACAATATTGCGTTTCCTTTATTTATTTATTTATTTATTTTTCAATATATTCTCCCCTACTTTATTTACCTTTTTACTCAAATAAATAAAATCATCAACGTTAGAAACGTGAAAAAAATTGATGCAATTGGCAAGCATATTATTTATTCAGAATATTCGCAGTAATTGTTTAACTTAGATGCGTGATCAATAATAATTCAATTACGGTATTTTATACACAAGTAAGGGTCGCATTCAGTTCATTTCACCGATAATAATTTTACCGTCAATTATCTCCGACAGACGTTTCTTAAATCTTATTTACATCTATATTCATTATTTATCGATAATAATTTTATTCACTCGAATTTAATTTTTACATTTTTTTTGGAATTTTTATTCTTTTCAGGCACGCTAAAACTTTATTGATGTAAAAATTGTTCGGATAACGTACAAATTAAAACTAGTTAAAGTACACCCATTCAATATAAAGTTCACCCAAACAAACCACCTTTTCATTTTCGATGAGTTATACATATCTATTACGTAAATTAAAAATGTGATTTATTTTTAAAACCATGAAATGTTGATTAAAATGTAACTGGGTGTAAAAAAATGTCGCAAAAATATCTTGATGTTTCTTTGTTTTCGGTTAAAAAAAGGATTGCAAAGTACAAACCGTTAATCAGAAATGAAATAACCACACGTGGGACAAATTAATCCCTGCAGCGATCAAGCCAAAAATATAAATACTAGTAATACCAGCATCAGCTGAGCACCCCCGCACTAATCCTCCTATTACAGCGGTAGCACTTCCAACAATATTTTTACTAAACATTCAAGTTGTCCAGAATTGACATGGAACAAAAGTTGCACCAAGAATACTGATAAAGAAACATACAGTAATTAATCCAATATAATGGGACTACGTACAGTACAATAGCACTAAGTCATACGGTACTATAAGCAATAGAGCCATGCATAACACGTTTTGGGCCGAAACGGTCACATAAATGACATAATGGTCCAAGAAAACGGAAAAATATTGCGGCGTCACATCTACATTGTTTATTAAACTGCCTGTCATGTTATTAACTAATAACTACTATATTAACTGTTTATTTTTTGGTTATTTTGTATACAAAAAATTTAGAGTATACGGTAGTTTTGATATCTTTGTCAAAGTTAATTGTCTTTTGGAGATAAGTAAAGCTGTTTAATAGGTATAAATTACTATTGGATTACTCAAGGATCTATTTTTACTGGGTTTGGCTTTCATATTTGTGGAGCTGTAATTATTTTCATAATAATATTAGGATATGTTACGCGTAACGCGTTTATTTACTGTATTTTAATTTTTAATTTATAAATAATAAAGTTATGTTTTTTATTTGTTTTATTTTTATTAATAAATTATAAATAAATAATTTTATTTTAAAATAAATAATTTTATAATTTTAAAAGTATAAAATCAATTTTCTTTTATATTTAAAGGTATAAGAAAATCAACTCTAATAGTATGAAAAATTCTTTTTTAAAATAAATTTTTTACTAAGATAAATATGCAAAAATTGATAATATAAATCACGTGGTGCTAGATATGGTGAGTAACGTAAGGTAAAAAAATTTTATTTTACGTTCTGTGCCTTAATTAAGGGAGTAACGTAAATTAACCTAAATTAGTAACTTTACGTTACTCACTTAGCCAATTTCCGTTACTTACTTACTACCTACCGTTGGTCATAGTCCAAATCCAACAGATGTGTATTAGACCAATTGGACAATTGGATGCAATTGGTCTATATCCAATTGTCCAATTGTCCAAATCGTCCAATTAAGTCAATTAAAATGAGTCCAATGCCAACACTGGTTGTGAATGCTGCGATTGAATTTGTTGAGGAAATTGAGATTGTTGCGATTGAATTTGTTGAGGAAATTGAGATTGTACCGATTGAATTTGTTGAGGAAATTGAGATTGTTGCGATTGAATTTGCTGAGGAAATTGAGATTGTTGCGATTGAATTTGTTGAGGAAATTGGGATTGTTGCGATTGAATTTGTTGAGGAAATTGGGATTGTTGCGATTGAATTTGCTGAGGAAATTGGGATTGTTGCGATTGAATTTGCTGAGGAAATTGAGATTGTTGCGATTGAATTTGTTGAGGAAATTGAGATTGTTGCGGTTCAGCAAATTGAGATTGTTGCGATTGTTGCGAGTGAAGAGTTTGCAATTGCTGAGATTGAATTTGTTGAGGAAATTGCACCTGAATTTGAGACAATTGCGATTGAATTTGTTGAGGAATGTGTGATTGAGCTAGTTGAAAAACTTGAAAAGGGAATATTTGTTGAGAAATTTGTTGAGGAAGATGAGTAATTTGTTGCTGTAAAGAAGACATCATAAAATTATTCGGATTTACAATAGAACATTGTGTATTATTTGCAGAACAAAAGTGAGAAGATTCTTGAGTAGAAAAAGAGGTATCAGAAACAAATTGAGAATCGGAATAATCTTGATTGATATTTTCGTTTCCTTGCAAAGAATAATGAGGATTAGAATCGTCATTATTATTTTGTACTTCCCCACCAGCTAAATAAGAACTATGGAGAGACACTGGATTTATGTTTTGATAAATAGCGTTATTATTTCCATTTTGTATTTGATTCAAATATTGGGATTGTGATATAATGGGTAAACCGGTTAATGATTTAAGAGCCGCAGCGACAAGTGATGAATTTGAATTATCAAAATTGTTGTTTGGAAATGCCATCTTTGATTTTTATTTTTTATGAGAAAAACCATGGTGTATATATATTTAAACTCAATTAAATGGAAAATTAAATTTGCATTCAACGCTTTCCATTTTGGGAATACAAGAAAGTGATATTCATTATTACATAAAATAGAATTTATAAACGTTAAAAAAAACAATTTTTTTTATGAAAAATTTCTTAGTTTTCATGGTTTTATATTTTTTTGTAATGCTGGTTATATTTAAATTAACTAAGATATATCTCTAAAGATATATTATCACTAAATAAATATATATCATTTTTTTCATATATATAATATGGGATATGAGTGAATTTATTTACCGCACCCTGCGTTACAACGCATCCTTCCTTTTTTGTAAATTGTTTATGTCGATCTTTAGTTTATACACCGCACCCCCCCTTAAAATGGCAAATGATAAACATAAAAATATATATAAATTTGTAACGCAGGGTGCGGTAAATACATTATTTCTTTATATTTTATTTCGGACTTTTACAATATACCTTTTAGAATAGAAGTGCTTTTTTTTGCGGAATTTTTCTTCAGAGAAAGAACATTTTTTTTTCTTATTATATTGTAAGTAGTACAAATATTATCTATACAATACTCATTATAAATAATTTTTACTACTGCAGTTTGATTAATTTATATATATCTATTATAATATTTATTTATAATAAATATAAATTTATCCTATTTGTGTAATTTTATATTTTTTTTTGTGCCAATGTAAACACGTATTTCGGAATATGCAAATACAGGAACACAGGAACATCTTGAAGACAGTTAGCGATTATATTAAAGTACTTGTGAGGATCAGATAGATCTCCTTGTCCACATCAAGGTGACGCACATCATTTTGAAAATCGCCTCCCGATTTTTTTTTATTTAAATCTTGGCGTTTGTTGCAAGTATTTTTTCCTATATCAGTATTTTTGTTCCGATGGATGTATTTTTTTATGGAGACTTTTGTAATTTGATTTATTTATGTAACACTATTTATTCATTTTGATAACTAAAATAAATATTATTTTAATTAAAAATTAATCACATGAGTTTACTATTGAATTTATAAATTATAGAAATCGCTTCTTGTTACCGTAATTTCAAATTATGGTTTTGTGTATATTGACCGATATACATATTCAATAATACTTTCTATCATAAATTCAAAATCCAGCTGCACGTGACTTCACTAATTTCTAGTGGAATTATAGGGTAATTGTGAAATTTTTGTACTAACTAATTTTTTAAATATCAAATATTTAAGTAGTGCTATGCCAGATAAAAATAAATTTAAAGCTTAATATAAGAGATGGCTAAAGAAAACACGAAACTTCTGAAAACGAAAACGAAAAAAAAATTTTCGATGAGTTAGTTAAATAAGACGACTCTGAAATGAAAAAAATAGGGTTTAGTGATTTTCCGCAGCAGGAAAATTGTACATATTTTGAGAAATAAATGTACAAGAAAGGATAAGATCTCAATCTATAAAATAATAAAATGAAGATAAATTTTATATTCTTGAACTTTATTTGAACAGAATGTTAAGACATATTTCACAATATATCGACTAATAATTACTCCTAAATAAATATATTATAGATAATACTAATGAAGAAAAAGTAAAGGTGAAAAATATTATAAATTGAAGAAGATTAAGGAAGTATGGTTTAAGTGAAAATATTTAAATTCTTTCAGTAATATAATTAATGTAAATAATTTATCAAATTTGGCGTAGTGATAAGCGCGTTTTATCATAAAAAGTTTGATATAAATATACAAATAAAAAAAAAAATCTCATGCTCGTAACTAAGATTTCATCATTATAAAATCTGAATAATTTTATGAGTTATAAAGATCTTACTGATAAACATGCTACAACTCATAACGGTGGATTTGACCCCTTTGCGTTAGAAGTGATTTTTAAGGAATTTTTGAATCAAAGATTATTTTGTAATATCAAAAAATCATTTGACAGATGATCAACTTAGTTGATTATTAACACTAGGGTTTTTTAAGTCAATGTGAGTTTTTATAATTATAAACAATTTTTTAATTTATGTTGTGAATATTTATTATTCCGATTCACAGAAAATCACAAAAAAACACATTGAAGAAAATGGGTATCCCTGTGAAGTGCTCTTTATAACCTATTTAAAAACGATAAAGTGGATGTTTAGAAATATTTTTTGCATATTTCTCCGAGTAATTGAAAATATTTATTGCATAATTCTCTAAACATTTGATAAATTAGAGTAAATTTTATTTTATAAGGGCAGTGACATTTATTACGTAATATCCATTTATAACCACATAATATATAAAATCTACCTCATCCCCTAAAATATTACGTAATAAATATCATTGCCCTAAAATAATAACAACAATATTTTATGGTTTTTTCAATAATAGGGACGAAAAAATAATTATTATGAAATCAAATAATTTATAACAAAAAAATAAACAAGGTATTTATGAAATCGGAAAACAATTAGTAGGGTTTTTATTAACAATCGGCCAGGATTCTAACAATATTACTGCCTCCTTCGGCATTCTGTAATTCGGAAAATCCTTCTTACAAGTGTTAATACTGTTAAGCCTAAGAAGAAGGTTTATTAAAATAAGAAATAATACAAATAATCCAATCAGACATGAATAAAGGATTAAACAATCATAATGATCCAATCAGATGTGAATATTATTACTTCATCATGATTCAATTCAAATTCCGTTAGCTAGCTTGATCCAGGAATTAAGAGTAATTATACTGGTTGCTTTTTAGCCACAAAAAATAAAATCGCAACGGTGGCAACTAATGGATCAATCGCAATGTTGGATGTTAAACTAAATAACTTTGAGCGTTCTACTTCTCAGTTCTCACTTGTCTATAGCATTGTATTTATATAAAATTAACTATATATTTTATATAACAGAAATAATAGATAAAATAAATATAATAACTATATAATACATAATTAATATAACTAATAAAACATACATGCAAATAAAATAAAACCTAAGCCTCCCGATTCCTGTTTATACTAAAAATAAATAAACTATAAATATAAATTAACTAATATATACATAAATAATAAAACTATACATTTAACCAATAAACTAATCAAAATATCTAACTAAATACATAAAATATCTATTTCAATAATAATTTGACATTGTATTTCTTTGAATCTCATAATAAATTAACAGTTAAAATAAGTAGCTTCCCCAATAAGATGGATTTCCCGAATTAGAAAAATAACTCGTCTTTTATGATTCTCATTCTAAGAGTGTAACGAAAGCAGTTCTTCGTATTCATGTTTCAAATACTCTAAATACTCTTCAATTTCCGAAGAAAATTCTTTTTGATAGTAACGAATTATTCTATTTAAGAAAATAATTCGATTTTGTCGTGTTCTTGAAAATCTATTCATACGAGGTGAAACTAGCTCTTCATATTCATTTAGAAGTTGAAGATAATCAAAAAACCATCTATTATCTGAATAAAATTATCATAAATTTTTAATAAGCTGAAAATATGGAATTAAAAATAAATAAACCGATTTAATATAAACATAAACACTAACCACGTGGAACAGGTATTAAAAGATTTTTTTTTAAATAAAAACTTATCAAAAGATGTGCGGCTAAATACCTAAAAAAAAGAAAAGGAACAATAATTTCAATTATCCGGTATTTAGGTAAAGTTTAAAAAAAAGTTTAAAAAAGTTGTATAGTTACACAGGATAAATCACTTATTCGGCACCTCGAACCGAATAACTAACGACTAACGCTAGGAGTAAAGGTCGCTTGTTAGTTGTTATATTGGGAATCAAATTTGACGGGGCTCCTGCGGAGCCAGGATAGGACCCAGAAATATATATAAAAGGGTCAAGGTTTGAGTTTGCGTATTTTGAACTAAAAAAATCATGAAAATCTTTCCTTTTTTAGATAATTTTTGATAATTCCAGTCAGAATTTTATTTCCCATTATAGTAACCGACTGATATTATCATAATTCCGGCCCTGAAAAAATGCGTACAGCTCATAGTAAAAAATTTTTTTCATCACCTGACCCCTATATATATATTTCTGGGATCAAACCAATCAAATTTGATTTACCCAATATAACAGTTATTTTGAACGAAGTGCTGAATAAGTGATTAATCCAATGGGGTATTATGTATTGAGATTTTTTTATGTATCGATCCCATAACTATATTGCCAAAAAATAAATATTTCTTACCAACAAATGATAAAAAAAACTATAATAACCAAAAAACAATCTCCTGCAAAAAGAAACATTTTGAAAATTTTTTGAATTTTTATGGTTTTGAGCCACCCTTTATATACCCTGTAAAAAATCTGATCCATGTTTTATCTTTCCATGTTTTTCCGTGAATGTATCATTTTCATGGAATTTATAGCCCGAAATTTTCGTGAATGTATCATTTTCACAGAATTTTTACGGAAGACACAGAGAAATAATGGAAATATTCGGATAAAAATTTTTTATAGGGATACTGTATTTTCTTTGTGTACTTGATACATAAAAAAGGTTAGTAAACAATCATGATATAAAAGAACAACAACAAATTAACCATATTCATATAACATTTACAATAAACTAAGAAATTCTCCGATAAATAATTTGAATGCCGAAATATTTATATCTATATTAGTTATAATTGTTATATATATGTTGTGCGTCAGGTGTCGATTTGCGTCAGATGACAGCTGACGCGCGTCAGATGCCAATTTTGAATAGTTTCTTATAAGTAAACATTTTTATTTATTAATTAAATTGTCTTTTATTTTATAAGTAAATCTGTGCACCATAATTATTTGCGTATATTCTGAAAATTTCAAGTAAATACCATTAATGCTGAATTATATATCGCAGATAATGTTATTCAAAATTTTAGCTATAATTAAACATAAAATTTTTCAGTCTTAATGTGCCTTTATTGCCTAAGTAAATTAGTTCATCACATTT